CCGAGTAGATCACATCCAGGAAAACAATGAAACGATGATAGTCCAAAGCCAGTATCACACTGTTTATTAAACTCAGAGTCTCAAATTGTCAGGATAACCTCAGTACTACAGTGCGCTGCTCAGATATGAGCAGCGCTTCAGTAACGCCCTGAGCCCCTGAAACATCAAGCGCCGCCCAGATACAGCCTCCAAAGGGAAGCGCCACCCTGAAACAGGCCTCTGAGGCCAAGCGCCACTCAGAGGATGAAGAAGAAGACCAGCGCCACAGTATCTGATGATGACGAAGTGTCGGAAGACTTCCCGGATGGAAGTCTGCAGCAGCGCCACCAAACCCTGACAAGATTACCTCTGAGGAAGAAGCTACAGCTATGGCTGCAGCGCCACCACCCTGGAACCCCATTCCGGAGGAGGGTCCAGCAGCGCACCAACTTCTCCCGCCTCCAGCAGACCTCGATAGCCCAGACCTCTGTCAGCCCCTGCATGCTGGCAGAGTACAGTGCAGGTCCCAGCTATGGCCGGCGCTCCGAAGGTCTGGCTATGCCTGTCTCCTTCCACGCTGAGCCGTCACCACTTCCGGTTCATGCATAGCGCAGCAGCGATGTACTCGGTACCAACTGCCAAAAGCCTTGCAACGATGTGCCCATTCTATCTATAGACTAACCTAGCCTAGACTCGACCTAGACCGGACTGACTGACCGACCGGTACAGTTTCTGTTTCGGCCTCTCGGGCTCTACCGGACCCGGCTATAGGCTATAGGACCGTCTATCAGAATAGGCCCTTAGGGCCTGTCTGTCCTAGGGGTAGCCCGGGCCTGCTATTCGCAGTTAGGGTAGCTGTAGGGAATTCTGTTAGTACCGGGCCTGCATTTTTCCCGAATTTGCAGATATGTCCCTCACGGATTTCCCTCACAGGTAGGTCTCTCGGTTAGCCCTCAGCCAAACAAAATTACGAATCTATCCTACCTATAGTACAGCCTCGACAGAAAGAGGCTACAGGCGACCAGAAAACAGCAAGTCATTGCACGTATACCCCCCTATACTCCAACCCCACCCCCCCCATACCCCCCCGAATCCCCAAAAGTTTCTCAGCGGATTTGGGCTGTACTCAGCAAGTGCAGCACAGCCCTCAACTCGGATTTAAAAAAAAATCAGTCGATTCTTTTTTTTCCCTCTTCTCCCTGACTGGTCGGCCATACTGGTTGGCTGCAATACGGTCGGCGGTCGGAGTCGGCGGTCGGCAGGGATGCAACCCTGCCTCAGGGCATCTTCCGTGATCACCGCGCCGCTGAAACGACATTCTGTGAGGTTGTCTCACAAGTACTCCGGATCCTGCCTGCATCTGACTGCGTTCATGTCCGTAGCGTCCTTAGTTTCTTTTTTGTCCTTGCCGTGCTGAAAATGAGTTACCTTTTCTTTTTTTTTTTTTTTTTTTTTGGGCACGAGTACCAGAAAAGCGAAGACAATGGGACATAGGCTCGGCAAAACTCAGTGCGCAGTGAAATTCAGGGTCTGCGAAAACAGGCCTGGAGGTACTGGTGGTTTAACACAAGGCTGTGCTGAACTCTGTCACTAAGTCTGCTTGATCATGTTTACTGAATGTCTGATGAAGAGCCATCTGATCTTGTGTTAGGTTGTAAAAAATAAATCCATGGCTCACTGGCTTGTGCCTTATTCTTGTATAGAGAGACAGGTACGAATTTCCAGTGGATCCATCTCTGCACAGGATTGTCACGCACAAGTGGAGCCTGGATTCATTTGGTACGAGTCAAAACTTGAAAACTATCAGGGGGCAAATCATTTTTAGTATTTTGTACGGAATGATACGATGACTGTCGGCTCTGTGAGAGTTGTGAGAGAAGTCTGTTGAACCACAGTCGCACCGACAAAGTTCACTTTTTTTGAAAGTTTGAAAAGTTTGAAACTTGCATCTGCAGCAACCTTTCTTCTCCAGTGCTTCTTTCCTTTTTGTAGTGTTTGTCCTCTGTGCCTTCTTCGGTGCTCACTGCTCTCCCCTTCCTCCCTCTTCTGTTTGGTGTTTATCGACAGGCAGGCCTTTTTCGTTATTTTTTCTTCAGCTCGACGGTCACGATGTTTGTAGTGGTAAAGGATGGAAATTGAATGGTTGTGATTTTTTTTTATTTTTTTATATTTATTATTTTCTTTTTTTTTGGTTGTGAATCTTGTGATGTTCTTGGTGGTCAATGATGGAACTCGGTGCCAAGCTCAGGCTTCCAGACATATCGCCAACCCCGATCTCTTTTTTTTGAGTTTTTTTTTTTTTTGGTTGTCAATCTTGTATTGTTCTGTCGTTGATTTGCTCTCCAGGCTACGAAAGTGACACTGTATGTAGCAGTCGTCATGGGACTCTCGGTTTTGGCGCTCGGGTGTTTCACACTTATAAAGGTGCGATTTGGACCCAGACATATTGCCGACCCCCACGCTACCCGCCCAATGGACACCAATCCACCCTCGCACACCTATCCACCCTCGCCTGTCCTCTCTACATCCTTCCTTCGTCGCAGAGGTTAGCTCTGTGCGTACGCTCTATGATGTCGTTTTGTGTGTTTACCTCCACGTGCGTCGCTCAGAGGTCAAACGCAGATTGCAGGGCATCTCGATGACGGCGAAAGGCGAAGCAGCAACAACTCGTGCCAGCATCCTATACACATATGATGTGAAAGATATGGTTACCTGGCTTGACCAGGATCACGTAATGAATGAGAGCGTCAGAATGGATTACCTATGGAATCTCTTCTAAAACGAAAAAGGCTGATCGGACTGAAGGTACGGAAGAAGAACATACATTTTGGGAAAAACGAACAGGGACAATGGCGTTGGAAACCTTATCGGAATCCAGGCTGTTCCACAACCGGGACAGTACGAAGTGCGTCAGGCCTATTTCTTGGTGCAAGGGACCTTGTTCGGGCGAGTGAGAGGAGCGCCATTGGGATAGGCGTGAAGTCCCCTCATGGCAAATGCAGTGTGGGAAGCATATTAGGTCACTAGGAACCGACAGTAGATGCATATATCTTGGATGAGGGTTGTTGATGATGGGATTTCGTGAGCAGCTTGCAAACTCGTGACCGCGAATAGGGTGGATGAAATCGTCACTGCATGCACGTTACAATAGTCTCACCCCTCCCTGCTGGCGAGCACAATCTCCTCCTTCTTCGCCTCCCCC